CACCCTTCATTTACAAACCCTCAACCCTTAAAAATTGGGCTTCAAGACTGAAGCTCAGGGAGAGGGCCTGTGACACATTTACATGATTACTGGATATTTGCATGGAATAAGGGACGATATTATACAGGGATTCTGTGGGGGATAATATTCCTCTGTGTCCCTTACTACCAGTAAGTTAAGTAAGTTTCAAAAGACGATCCGCTAAGCCTTCCTGTCCTTGTTACAGTTACACATCCTACTTTGCGCGCTTCGAACGCCGCTTCACAACTGCAGGGTCCATTCCTGCAGTATTGATCTAGGTGTAGGGGTCTGAGAATAACAAGAGACTTCAAGAACTACCCTCCTTCAAAACACAAAGACTGGGTTGCTGTCAAGGAACCTAGTTTAAGTTACCACAGTTTTTTGGGGCAAGCCATATTCATTACTATAGATACCCATTATGGCAACTTAAGGAACAGCGACCCACAAAAGAAGACCTAAGTTGCAGCTGAGGCACCTGACCATTTGCACAGCTTGGGTGGGCAAGCTATCCCCAGGTCAATGATTTCAGCAAAGCCTCCAACTGGCCTTTGGCTAGCTGGGAATAAGGAATGGAAATCTATGGGAACTACCATACTGGGATTTTAAGGGGCTACCATAAGAATCCATTCCTTCATTCCTAGCTAACCGAAGGCCAGTCCAACGCATTCAGCGCAGCTTGGTGTTCAGCACGGCGCATGGTGTCAATACAGGGACTGTCATGCACTTCCAGAATGCATGGCACAGCTGAATACTTCTCAATTACAACTCGAAAAATCTTCAAGCTGGATGCATAAACCTCATCTGGTTTTGGGTCTGTTCCTTACTTGGTCACGTCCATCCTAGATTCAGATAAAACACCCCGCTGCCCCTTTAGAACATTAAGCAAATACAGCCCGACTACAGGAAGTCTTCCACGAATTGGCGAGGAGTGCGGGGTAGGTGGTCTCTATTGGGTCCTGCCCCCACTTATATATAATCACATCATAGTTGTTATCCAGCTGTTAATGAGTGGGGACAAGACCCAAGGTCTCTAATATTTAGGGCAGATGGATTGCATTGTACTGGGTTCTTAGCTTGTCCAATACAGTACCATCCAGCCACCTTAAAAGTAACAATAATGGAGAATCAAATGGCAAAATGAAATGGAAAATGACGGGGAAACTGGGATTATAGGTAGTTTATAGGGATTATATTGTCTAATATAGAATTTATATTGGGGTTATATTTTCAAGCCTATGAGGCCGGGCCTCATTAAGCTCTCTAAATAGGTCTTATTAGCTCCTCAAACCCTGGGGAGGGTATCTTTAGGGGGGATGGTATTGTAGGCCCTGACAAAAAGTGTGCAAGCAAGTGGCACTTGCTTCCTCTGCAATTCAGCATGATGTTTTCGGGCTTCAAGTCCTGACTGGACACTTGGAATCTCTTGAGCTGAGCTTCGGGGCATACAGGGGAAACAGGAATATATAGGAGAACAAAGAATTATGCACAATCATATGGATAACAAAATGGAAACTTACATGGAAGCTACAATGGCGGTTTAAGGTTTTGGTAGCGGTTGGTTGAAATGTTGCGCTGCACCGGGCTATTTAGATTGCCAAGCCCAGGAAAGGTATCCCCAGACTAGATATCCCACATCCTATGCTTAGGTGGACCCCCACTACTAGTAGGAATATGAGTACCCGGGACCCTCATGCAGTTACTATTATCCCTTATAATCTATTTCAGGCTGGGGGTCCAACTAACCTATACCTCAATCTGTCCTGACCTGCAAAATGACACGCACAATGCAAGTGCTCATGCCTATCACCACCACCATAAGAACTCCATTTGGTAGTTTCTCAAAAATAGGGGCACCCCAATGTAGACCCCAAAATGCTACTTATTATGGGGACCCCCAGAAAGGTACCCCTAATTTTGGGAAACTCCCACTTCTAACCGCCAAACGCAACAGGACCCATCCGTAGCTCATTTACTGAATTGCTGGGCCGCATAAGTTTGAGATCTTCTACACCAGGTCAAGAACACCCTCTAAGCCCTTTGGGATAATGAAAAAGAAAATGGACACTACTAGAACATATTAGTGTATATATAGGGTGATATGGGGGCAACCCTGCAAAACCTGTAGCCGCCTATGCCCAAGTTTGGACAGCTGTCCATGTGGATGTACCCTGCATTGTGCAGCGCCCCCACGCCGGAGGTCGCTTGATGAAGCAGTGCTTGCACCTTCTTTCACATGCGCAGTGGCAGCAGAGGTGATGGTAGTTAGAGGCGGCTGTGCTGCTACTACTCTTACCATCCTCTCCTCCTTCTCCCACCATTGTCCTTCCTACTAATCACTTCCTCATAATGACCCCCTCCACACACACACACACACAC